TCCCCAAAAAGTGTTCTTCAAACTTGTTTAGCAGCACTTGTAATTTATCTTTTTCTGCCTCTTCTATTTTAAACGTGGTATACACTCGAAATCCCTCATCTCCTATGTAATGTAATAACTGCGCACATTGGGTTTTTTCATCTTTTTTGGCTACCTCAGACGCCACTAGATAATTTTCAAAACGTGCTCGCCATAACTTCCAATTTTCTGCGACGTTCCCTCTGAACGATAGCACTGAAATTCCTCGGCTGTCCCCCATTTAGTATTGGTATCGATTCGTATTATAATTATTTCTAATGACCGTAGCACATACACCGATTGTAATTTATTCTATTAATTTTGGTTACTTATTACTTCGAGTTGATTTCTGATGACTGCGCCATGTTATTTTATATTATTTTATTTCAACAATAGGTTTTTACTTAAACTGATTGAAACTCTTCAATCAAGCAACTCAGGTTCTGTCAACTCGTTTATTGTCTGTCTTCCCTTAAATTAGGCATCCCCCATCATATATCCATGTCATTAGGTTGCCTACCTCACATCCCCCTTTTTTTTTTGTTTTTTGTTTTTAAAGATCCAGCTTCTGAGGCGGTTTCACTTTTCGACCCGAAATTGTACTTTTCTCTTTGTTCACAAAACCCTCTTCAGAATCTGTTTCCTCAGAATTGTCCCCACTTGATTCTGTGTCCTTACTCGTCTCTGTATCACGTTCACTAGTTTCACTTTCAATATCTAAATAAACTTTTACATCCTCACAATCGTTCGAGAATTTCGCAAATTCTTTACAAGTAAATTGAGGTCCCCCGTCTGTTATTAATGTTAATGGTATACCGTGTCTAGAGAATATACTTTTTAATTTCAAAATCACATTATAACTAGTTGTGTCGTTTTCTAGTTTTTCAATTTCAATATACTTTGAATAATAATCGATTAGAAGCAAGTATTTTTTCCCTTTATATTCCATCAGGTCACAGCCTAACTTGTTCCAGGGTAGTTCTGGAACGTGGTGATTAGTTAAAGATTCTGGTTGTTGTGACCTTGAGTATCGAACCTAAAATTGCAACCTAAAATTTTATTTTTAACGTCTTTAGTCAAAGTGAGCCAGAATAACGATTCCTTTGCTAGAGACAAACATTTTTGAAAACTCATGTGATTGTAATGAATTTTTTCGAGCATTTCCGGTTGTAAACTTTTCGGGACAACTATTGCTCGCTCTTTAAAGATAATATCGTCTAGTACGGTTAACTCACTTCTATACTGAATATATTTTTTTAACACGTTATTTAAATTTCTATTATCGTTTGGCCAACCTTCCAAAATTACTTGTTTCAATTTCTGTAATTCTGGATCATTTTTTGTGTGGACGCGTAATTCTTGCCACCTTTTTTGAGTAATATTAATTTCTGATATTATCATGCATACATGTTCGGAGATATCATTACTTAATTGCGAATTGATTTTATATTTTATGTGGTAGGAATGCACGTGACAATGTATCGGGAATTACTAACCCCTTACCAGGTTTGTATTTCAAGACAATATCGTATTTCTGTAATTGTAACATCATACGCTGTAGCCTATTTTTTTTTTATGTTTTCGTGGAAGAGGGGAAATCTTCAGAAGACACCCAGCCGTCCGTACGACTGGGTAGTGTCGGATTCCCGAGGAAGAAGTCCTCGGACCTACCGACTAAAACCCCTCTACCTCAGGTCGTTCTAGGACCAACTAGGGTCCTCTTCAGCATAACATCATACGCTGTAGCCTAGCAGGGCATTTGTTAAGCGGTTTTTTGAAAATGTTAATTAAAAGTAAATGATCAGTTTCAAAGGTTATTCGTCTACTAAACACAAACTGATGGAATTTTTCCATTCCTACCACGATAGCCAAAAGTTCCTTTTTAATTTGTGCATAGTCGCATTGTGTTTCTGTAAACGCTCTAGAAGCATATGCACAAGGCAAGTTATTTTGCAATAGTATTGCACCGCATCCAGTCTTTGAAGCATCAACCGAAACTGTTGTTTCTAAATTTACGTCATAAAATTGTAGGACAGGTCGATTTGTTAATTCGTGCTTAATTTTTTCAAAGGCTGTCTCATGTTCTGGGCCCCATACAAAATCGTTTTGTTTCTTCAGGTTACGAAGTACTACTGTTTTATCCGAAAAGTTTTTTATGAATTTACCTACATACGTTAGTATGCCAAGCAAGCGTTGAACGTCTTTTTTACTCCTGGGACGAGGCATTTCTTTTATTGCTCTTATTTTCTCTTCATCGGGTTTAATGCCATTTGTAGTTATTAGATGACCTAATTATTTTATTTTACTTTGCCCGAACTTACATTTCTGTAAGTTAAATTTTATATTATTCTTACGTGCCAAACTGAAAACCTTCAAAAGTCTCTCATCATGTTCTTCTTTGGTACGCCCCCAAATAAAAATGTCGTTGATGTATGTCGACCTCATCGACATCAAAGATTGACTTGAAACGAGACTGAAAGGCCTCCGGAGCTGATTTAATTCCATAAGGGAGTCTTAGAAATTTATACCGACCGAAGGGTGTACCGAATGCACATAAGTTGGTACTCTCCTCATCTAGCGGTATCTGGTAAAACCCCTGTGTAGCATCCAAAGTACTAAACACTTTTGCCCCCTTTAATTTATAAGTAATTTGATATAATGTGGGAATTTTATAATATCCCCCTTTAATAATCTTATTTAAATTTTGCGGATCCAAACATATCCTTAGTTTCCCGTTTGGTTTTTTGACTAAAACCAACGCATTAACCCAATCTGTCGGACTTAACACTTTTTTAATTATACCGGTTTTCTCTAACTCAGTAAGGCTTTCTTTTACTGAATCTAGTAAAGGAAGTGCTACCTTCCTAGTGGGGTGTACTACTGGTTTTGCATTTTTATCTATTATTATTTGGCAAGTTGAACCAAAACAACCAATACCGTTATTATTAATTTTAAATTAATGCTCGTCTCTAACCCTAAAATCGCTTCAGTTTTTGAATTAACGACGAAAAAATTCAACAAGTAAGTATTTCCATCCTTTATGCATGGAACCTCGCACTTTCCCAGAACTTTTAATTTATCATCCGTATAAGAATTTAACATTGTGTTTGTTTTTCTGATTATATTTTTAGATAATCCTAGTTAACTAAACACATTAAAATGTAAGACATTTGCCATAGCCCCTGTATCAATCTTAAAACTAAATGTTTAATTCTGTACGCCATTGATTTCCTAAATTAATTTTTGCTACCGTTTCATTTATACTCGCTACATAGAGAAACTCACCATCTGCATTTACTTTGCTTTTCAGAACTTCATTAACAGAGTCTTTCTGGGTTACTGGATTATTTTGATTGTTCTCTACCTTATTACATGTATTTTTAAAACACACCGATGCAAAATGATTCAATTTGCGACAAAACTTACATGATTTACCAAAGGCGGGGCATTTATTTACAGGATGTTTTGACATACCACACTTATTGCAATTTGTGATGAATTTACCCTGGGATTTACCATGTTGTTTTGTTTGTAGTTGGTCGATGCCACATTTCAATGATGATGAACTTGTACCTTGTCCTTGGCTGATGATCTGGCTTTGGGCTTTCGCTGACTCAATCACTTGACAAAGATCAACTGCCTTGTCCAATTTTAGATCGTCTTCCTGAAGAAGTCTCTCTCTGATCGTCTGGTTTTTTATCCCACAGGTGATCATTGTTACTACCAAGCTATCTTCAAGTTCCCTTAATTGGCAACGTGTTGCTTTCTTTTTAAGTTCAACAATGAAATCTTCAGTACTTTGTTCTTCTTCTTGTCTAGATGTAAAGAACTTAATACATTTCATAGGCAATATTTTCCTTCCCCGAAAAGTGTTCTTCAAACTTATTTAGCAGCACTTGTCAATAAATTGAGCTAAAATTTTTGTAAGCGACAACTTCATTTTAAGAAAAATCGAGGTTAAACAGCATTAAACACCACGCTTTCATACAGAGAGGTTAGCCTT